GATCACCTCTGGGGACCAGCCTGGACCTCAGGACAACTAAAGACCTGGATCACCTCTGTGGACCAGCGAGGACCTCAGGACAACTAAAGACCCGATCACCTCTGTGGACCTCGTGCATCATGAGTCAGCTTCAAAGTTTTTGGCAAACCAAATATTGTTAGCCCAAGGAGAGCTGTGGTTGCAATCATAGTTCTTGTTGGGTAAGCACCAACCTCAAACTTATAAATTTTTTTGACTGTGATTAAAAGTTGTGTTTGTGCCAGAAAACTCATTTTAAATTCTATTTTTACTTAGAAGAGTGATCAGATGAAGCAATATTGTCAGAAGCTTGTTGGTTGCCTAAAAGGCTTGTGGTTGAGGTGCAACTTCCTATGGCACAAAGAGACATTTAATGTGGCATGCTCATGACTGGATGGAAACTTAATCACATCTGTACCACTGTTAGGCCCCTGTCCTCTAGAGTCTGTGTAGTCTCTCTTTTTGTTTATGCAGATTCAGGTGTGGCAGCACACTCAGCTGATTGGCTGCCTGGAGGCTGCAGAGCAGCAACACCATTGGACCAGCAGGAGATTGCCACACCAATCAGATGATGGTGAGGTCCACCGCACCCTATTAAAGGCTCCTGGAATCATCCATTCAAGGGAGCAGCTTTAGGCAGAGGTTTTTGTGCAGCTGACCCCCACTTTGTTGTATCCTTTTTAGGATTGTTTTGGGGACAGTATTAGACAGAAGTTTTGTACAGCTGACTCCCATTTTGGTTGTTGTAACCTTTTGAGGACTGCCCATTTTGGTTGTTGTAACCTTTTGAGGACTGCCCATTTTGGTTGTTGTAACCTTTTGAGGACTGTTTGGGCAACTTAAGAGTATTGTGTACTCCTGATCCCTTTCTGCTCAGCTTAGCAGCATGGTTCTGAGTTTGACTGGTGATTCCACTTGTACTTGGAAAGTTTTTGGTGAACCTTTAATGTTGTTTTGAGTCTGGACTAGACTGACTTGTTTGGTTTTTATTTAATTGTTGCAGCAGCATTTGACCCACTTTAGTATATTTTTGTTGGGTCAAAGAGTATTTGTCTGTGGAACATTTTTTTTTGTTGTTTTAATAAACCTTCTTTTTAAAAATCAATCAACTCCATTTTTTTATTTCTTCTAGACACATTTTATGTTACACCCCCTGATACCCTAGACCTGGGGACGTAACAAGTGGGGGCTCATCCGGGGTAGTTAAAGGATCCCTGTCAAGAGAAACAAATTAATTAAATAATTTTCACTGGTATTTTAAGTGCAATGTCAGTTACATTCACTCTGGAGCACTTTTTAGCTACCCCATCTATTGAGCTTAATAGCTACCGCAAGCGTGAACTGCTGCAAATTAAAAAGTATCATCAAACAAAAACTGAAGAAAGAATGGCAGAAAAGATGAGATGAAGAAAAAAAAGGAAGATGGTTTTATAGGATCAAAAAGACAGTAGGAGAAACAAGAACTGGAAGAAGGAGCAGAAAGGAAGAAAGATTAATAACAAGATTGAGATTTGGACATACGGGACTGAATTATTCATTATTTCAAATAAAGAAACACAATACAGGAAAATGTGAGCACTGTGGACAAGATGAAACTATACAACATGTGATACTGGAATGTCAGAAATATGCAGCAGAACGAAGGTTTATGAAGAGACAGTTTGAAAAGATAAAAGAAAAACTTAATATAATAGATGCACTACAACACAACTTGGAGAGCAAACATATACAAATTATAATTAGATATTTTAAGAAAACAAAGTTGATTAATAGAATTTGAGATATATATAGTTTACTCACACATACACATAGAATTAGCCCATGATGAACCACACTCCATACCAGTGGTGGCGGTAATGCACACCTACAGTTTTTTGCCAACCGCCATTAAACTCATCAAGAAGAAGAAGAAGAAGAAGAAGAAGAACTGCTGCAAATTGTGGACCACTTTAAGCTGCAGGTCCTTAAACATGACCTAAAGGCTATAGTAGTGGATAAGTTGAGATGGAGCTCGTGTGAAGGTGCGGTTGGCGCGTCTCCAAATGGAGGCTGAGGAAAAGTCCCAGGAAAGAAAGGCTCAGTTGGAGCTTGAAGTCAGGAGGCTGGAAATCAAGGCAGATAAAGCTGTGTAGACTTTAGCTGGAGGCCCAGACTCTAGCACCTCCTGCCTCTGCTGAGACACCAGGTGCCACCTCCATTTCTGCTATGCCTTTTGATGCTACTTGTGCGGCTGCTCGTCCCTTTTCTCTGAACTGGAATCACTTTGTGAAACTTGAGCCACTCGCAGCTTCAGGTCCAAACCTTAATCTGTGTCGAGCGTCTATTAAAAATGGTTACATCGTTCATCTCTTTAAAATGTTTCCAACCACAACCGGAGACTTATGCGGTGGGTGTTATTTTTGCAAGATTACAATCTGAACATTAAACAGTAGAAAGGAACTCAGAATGTTCTCGCCGGTGACCTCTCCAGGATGTGGGTATGGCTCATATTTCTTTCATTTGTTTGGTGCAAGGTATTCACAAAACCT